TCATTCTGATCCACACAAAACAAAAATAATTGTTATCACCAATTAAAATACGCTCTCCCGAATTTAATCGGTGACACTATCACCTTCTCTTTCTCTTCACCTTTGCCATTAAGTTCCATCGTCAGAAGGAAATGTTAAGAGCCTTTCTTAATTTGAACATGATATAGTAGCAATAAAGAAAATAACAACCAGTATTGTTTAAGAAATAGAAACAATAACTCAATAAAGAAGAGCAATTAAATTTGGTTATAATTTAATTCTTATTACAAATTTTGTATAGTATATACAATTCCAGGAGAGATTATCTGGCTAAATTTGTACTAGTTTATGGGTATATTTCAGGGATTGGGCCATAACAACGACTCACGTTATCATTTATATATAGTTATACCCAAGCTCCAGATACAAATTAGTTAGATGCTTTTTATTAATAAAAGAGTCAGTGCATAAAATTCGCTGATCAATTTTAGTGCATGTTGCACAAATTTTTTTGAGAATTTGTGCAAAAGTTGCTTAAAAATTGTACATGTATGCACAAAAAAATTGTAAGTAGTTTAATTTTTTTGATTTTTTTGTGCATTATATGGGGCATGCTGTAACAAAACCAAACAAAGTGAACATTGGTGTTACCAAGAATTTCAGGGATCAATGTTTGTTTAACATCACAATTGTATTATCAATGTAATGTGAATTGTTAAACACGAAAGAATAAATGTGTAGTCTTTTAATATCATATGTACATCATGATTTCTGTTTATAGAAAACGTAAATCATACAATAATAACAATAATACATGATGTGTATGAAATAGTATATTAATATATAAGAATCTTACATAAAAACATGTAGATAATCGGAATCATGACTTTTTCCCCCTTCCATGGCCTCTTCCCCTACCTCTAGCCATATTCTCTTGTCTATTTTTATCCTCCTTGTCTTTCTTGGGCAAAAATTCATCAAATGTCACAATTTGAGGTCGATCCGGTGTAAGACTGGTAGAATATTTTGATATAGGATTTATAATGTATTGCTGACTTTTTTTTTCAAGTTTTTGAAAACTTTTGATCTTATTAATAACATTGAATCGCAGACAAAGAAGTGCTCGAATTAATCTGGGTGCATGTTGTATATTAAAAGGAGATGTTGGGATAATAAGACTTGGAGTTGTAAATGGTGAATATAAATATAAACCAGGTCCAATGTAAATCATTTGACCAATTTCAAGCTTGTCTTCTATAATAAATAATAAATTAATGTTAAAAATAAGGATATATTGTGCTTAAAACATTTTAAAATAACTTACCAGATCCCTGAGCAAGAAAGACTCCCAAAGTTTCACAAGTTTTCCATGTTGGAAAACCAGTTTTAACCATAAATTTATTAAGTCCAAATACACCTTCTTTCATTAATTTCTGTCTATCATCCTCAATTTTATCAGGATCCGGATCACTAGGTTCACCTGACACCTCAAGTATAAATATGGGAATTTGTTCATGTAATTCAGCAACTCCATCTGCTTTATAATCTGTGATTTGAGAATCAAGTTTTGTTGAAATTGTACATTCACACGAGAAATATTTTACAGAGTTAATATAACTAAAAGTCATAAAAAACATATATGCTAATATATGTGCAGTCCATGATCTTTCTGTTGTATCTTTGAGAATTCCATCCATTCTCATGGTTGCACTTAGATGACTTGAAACGCTCTTTATAATGTGAATATCAGGGTATAAAAATCCTTCGTATTGCTCTGCTCAAATAGGAAGAGAGTTGGATAAGTAATTAAATCTTGATGTTAACCCATTCAAACTATAAACTATCTCTTCCATCTTGGAAATAGCTTCATCTTTGATTTCAATAAATTTTTTCTCAACTACCTCATCATCACCATTTTCATCCCTCAAATAATCATATATAATTTTATCAAATAATGTCATATATTCAAGTGACTTTGTATCCATATATTTGCTCTCATCTTCCAAACTCAACCTATCAAATAACAATTTTAATTCTTCATCATTTAAAAGACTATGTACTTCATTTAATATTTCTTTATCTTTCAGATCAATTACATAGTAATTTGATCCTACTCCATGGGTACTCCATATTTTTTTGAGTTTATTGTAATACTCCGGAAATTTAACTTTCTTAAAAATGTTTAAGGTTTCAACAACTGAGCTCAATATGTCTTCTTGAGTAATACCTTCTTCAACTGACCTTTCATTTTCACTGATTTTGATCTGTTGCAACTAAAAAAAAAAAAAAAAAAATTAGAAAAGGTAAAATAATTTTTTTGCAGACTAATAACTAAGTTATCTCTTACCTTTTGTGATGAGGCTGGTGGTAATTCTTCCTCAAGAAGTCGGTTTTGTCCAGTCTTTAATTCATCAGGTTCCAACCTTTCATCAGATAAGAATTCTTCAAGCTTGTTTATCACTATACGAACATTCCCAAGTGGCACCACATTTTCTTGTTGATTTTCATTTAATGCTTTTTTATCCAACAGTTTTGGTATCTTTGATCTAAGTAGCAAAGAAAACAAAAGTTTTGATTTAGCAGTGATAGGCATAAAAACTTTTCCAATCAATTTTAACTATTAACTAGAGTGACGACAAGTGGCGGGCGATAACCACCACCACCATCCTTAAAACACTTACTCTGCCAATGCTTCTGCATGATTGCTTTCTTTGGTTCTTTTGTTAGATTCCTTGGGCATGTTTCTTTTAATGTTTTTTAAAATTGAAAAATTTTAAAATAAAAAGAATAAAAAGAAGTTTGTTATTTGATCGACGCGTACACGCTAATTATTTATCCTATTGGTTTTTTTTTGGTAGGACAGACACAAATTGATTTTTTTTTTCTTTCTTGGAAAAACAATTTATTTTCTGACAGAGTCCAAGGTGACAGAACGTGAGCGTTGTTGTTTGGTTTGGTTTGGGTCTCCTAAAGAATACGTGTTAATAACTAACCAGAGGTACTATTTTTTACTTGTATTGATTGATATTTTTTATTTTGGTTATTATAAACATTTTAATTGGAAATCAAAATGCGGAGCAGATCTTGCTGTATAATTACAAGATTTTCATTGATAATATTTTGCTTAATAATATTATTATAAATATTATAATCACAAGATGTCAAGGCAGCACACCGTTGAAAAAGAGACATTTCGATATGCGATGTTTGATTACAGGAAATTTACAGGCGTTGAAGCATGCACGCTACCTTGAACACTTTACAGTCATTCTCACATATTCCTCGTGTACATAAGGCTAATCTGACTTGCGATGCCCGATGATATGATGATGCAACGGAACTCCAGGGGGGTGTCGCTCTGCCCTAGAGTTTACTGATACTGCACCAATTGTCAATGACGCTTTCACTAATCTTCCCAGACCAGAGATTGGGGGGTCCAATATCATATGTGTTATGATATATATGAAGCCACATATTAATTTTTATTATTGAGGATTTTTTAA